CAAAGAGAAGTCAAGTATAGGCAAAGTAAAATGCACGTCTCAAGAACACGCCTCTGGCATTTAGTACTCTTTCTTTGCTCTTTTAAGTAGATGGTTTTGGGACACATCAATATGATTTGTGGATACTTGGAGCAGTTCAGGAAATGCCAGAAAGTGCCCTGATTACCTATAGATGTTTTACTTGCCCCTGAAGTGAAAGAGATTATACTCATCAAAATAAGTCTGTCAGATAAATTGAAATAATGAGGGAACTGGGTTCATGACCTTTCCTATCCCAAGTCTTCTCTCTGGACAGCTTCTAGAAGGATCCTATCCTTTCTCCTGTTCTGATAACCCCCAACACATGGGAATCTGAATTTTTCAAAGCTAAAGTTGGCCCACTATTTTATTTTATGTCTATCATTTTTGGCCTGGATTCCCCATTCTTACTCCCTCCAACTGATTTTGGAAATGCTCCCAATATTGAGAGATCTGTATTTTCTAAAAATATGCACTGGAGTTATCTCAGCTCTCACTGCATGGAGAAATCTAGCTGTGTGAACACCACACACTTCCACTAACCTCATGCTGGTATCTTTCAGCAAGATTCTTCTCACGCCTACTTACATACATTATCCCATCTGACCCTCATAACTTTATGAGTTAGAGAAGTCGTTATCATCCGCATTAGCAGATGAGAAAAATAAGAGTCAGAGAAGAAAAATGATGCTGTGACAGTCTCCTGGGCCTATAATTACTTCTACTATCCTGGCACCTCAGGAGCATTCAGCATACTTCCAACAAAGAAGGATTCTTCCAGGTGGCAGTTATAATGTGGTAAACAAAAGATGATCCACTTGCTGTTTGGAAAATGAAATGTGTGGGTCCTTTCATTCTAATGAAAATTATGGCACTCAGATCTTGAAGTACCTCTAATGGGTATTATCAGAGGAAGCAGATGAAGACACACAATTACTTTATTCCATTTGGCTTGCTCAGCTTAGCACATATAATGGGAGGTAAATCCATTTTGCCCTTGCGTGTTTGTGCTACCACATTATAGTTAAGGAAATTATGCAGGACCGTAACCACTGAGCAACTGAAAGGGCTCCTTTCTCAACAACGGATAGTCGTAGGCAGTTTCTATGCGTTGATAATGGTAAGAAACTACTAATCTACAGGGACTGGTCCCCAACATCTAAGCATCCATGATTCTTACGAATCTTGAATAAAGGCCTGCACGATAATATTATTTTTAGAATTTTCTTCCAAGAAAAAGAGTCTCTTCAGAATATTTGATATTTTACTGGCTGATAAGAATTATGTAGCCCCTAACATATATCTTTTCGCCTCAAACTTATACTTAATGCTCATTTGCAGTAACTAGCCTAGGCTTTTGGGTATATTTATTTTCCCATTCTAATAACAGGGCTTTTTATTTACGAATTAGTTAGGAAATGTGCTTGCAAATAACAAAATACCAGAATAAAACTGACTTAAAAATAGGAGTTTTTATCTCACATAACAAGAGGCCCCAAAGTAGCTAGTCCTGGTGTTGGTTAATATAGCAGCTCAACAATTTTAGCTCTTCACATCTGTAGTAAACCTGTCTCTGACAAAGGTGCCAGGAACATACAGTGGGGAAAGGACAGTCTCTTCAATGAATGGTGCTGGGAAAACTGGAAATCCATATGCAGAAGATTGAAACTAGACCCTTATCTCTCACCATATATAAAAATAAAAATAAAATAAATCAAAGACTTATATCTAAGACTTGAAAGTATGAAACTACTAAAAGAAAATGTTGGGGAAATGCTTTAGGACATTGGTCTCGACAATAATTTCTTGAGTAATGCCCCCAAATCACAGGTAACCAAGCAAAATTGGACAAATGGGATCACAACAAGCTAAAAAGCTTCTGCATCACGAAGGAAACAATCAACAAAGTGAAGAGACAACCCACAAATGGGAGAAAATATTTGCGAACTACCCATCTGACAAGGGATTAATAACTAGAATATATAAGGAGCTCTAACAAACTCAATAGGAAAAAAATCAAATAATCTGATTTATTAATAAAAATGGGCAAAGGATCTGAATAGACATCTCTCGAAAGAAGACATACAAATGGCCAGCAGGTATATGAAAAAATGCTCAACATCATTAGTCATCAGAGAAATGCAAATCAAAACTACAATGAGATATCATCTCACCCCAGTTAAAATGGCTTTCATCAAAAAACAGGTAATAATGAATGTTGGCAAGGATGTGGAGAAAGGGAAAACCTCGTATACTGTTGATGGGAATGTAAAATAGTGCAACCACTACGAAGAACACTATAGAGATTCCTCAAAAAACTAAAAAAATAGAACTACCACATGACCCAGAAATCCCACTACTGAGTATATAGCCAAAGGAGCGGCTATCAATATATCAAAAAGATATCTGCACTCCCATTTTTAGTGTAGCACTATTCACAATAGCCAAGATTTGGAATCAACCTAAGTGTCCACCAATGGATGAACGGATAAAGAAATTGTGGTACATACACACAATGGAATATTATATAGCCACAAAAAAGAATGAAATCCTGCCATTTGCAACAACATGGATGGAACTGGAGAATATTATATTAAGTGAAATAAGCCAAGCACAGAAAGACACATCACATATGTTCTTACTCATGTGTGGGAGCTAATTATTAAAAACAATTGTTCTTGTGAAGATAGAGAGTAGAACGATGGTTACCAGAGGCTGGAAAGGGAAGCAGGGGTGGGGAGGATAAAGTGGGGATGGTTAATGGGTACATAAAGATAGATAGTTGGATAGAATTAACAATATTTGATAGTACAACAACGTGACTATAATCAATAATAAGTTAGGGCATATTTTAAAATGACTAAAAGAGTGGAATTGGAATGTTCCTAACACAAAGAAATGATAAATGCCTGAGGTGATGGATACCCCAATTTGGTTAATTCACATTGTATGCTTGTGTCAAAACATCACACATGCCCTATAATGATATACAACTATTAATATTATGTACTCATAATAATTAAAAATAAAAAAATTTACGAAAACAATGGTAGCTCTGACTGGTTTCGCTGAGCTCTTCTTGGCTTTCCTCTCATTGTCACAAAATGGCTGCTGCAGTCCCAGTCATAAATTCCTCACAATATGACAGCCAAGGCAGGCTTCTGGCCAAAAAAAGTAATTTCTGCTAGACTTGTCCACCTGCTATGAATAACTAGAAAACTGGACAAAGTAGATGAAACACTGGACAACACATGGCTCAGTACTGTGGTCCCTGAGAGAAGGGTAACAGACAAAGCAAGCCCTGTGAGTGTCCCAGCTTTCTGCCAGGAGGCACTTTCTGGACTGCAGTGTAGGGATGGGGAAGCCAAGGAGAGCACCACAATCTTGCTGGGCTAATGGGACAGAGACTGGAGTTTGGGGTGGTTAAGGCAGGTGGAACTTGCAAGGAAGAATATCAGTGAGGAAGGAGCTACACAAAAAGAGATCTAGACATCTGCATAGGGTCCCCTTTAATCTTTGGCTAAATGCTGAGCTATGCATGCATATATTCCTGGGGTATGCCAAACCCACTTTGGAGACCACAGCTCTACACTGGTTGTCTTTCAGTCTGGCCAGCAGATTCCCTGCCCCTGCACTGCATGGCAGACACCTGGGACTTGGATTCCCTGTCCCCTCCCATCATGGAGAGGAGACACTAGCTCCCGTATAAAGGGAGATGGCTTCAGGGCCAACCTGGGCTCCTTGCTTTCATTTCGACCCTTCTCAACCTTCTCAACTGCTGTGTCCTGTGGCCCCAAAACCATCTGCCCCTAGTTTTGTGCCTGCCTCGCTGCAGCTTGGGCATCAGCTTGCCTACACTGTTTTTCTCTCTAGATCACTACTCTGCAAATACTGGTGGATCCCTGGAGCTTGCTGTCTAGGGCCAATGGGTATGTAGAATATGAGTACCTGGGATATCCAAAACTATCAGAGCAGTGCTGTGAGCATGATCCTGTTTCCAGAGCATTACAGCCCCAGTCTCTGACCCTGCTTCAAGGCTGACTCCATTCCTAGAATGAGAGAGGCAGGTCAACTGGACTGAATAAAGAAGCAAGTCCCAGACTTCTGGCCAATGAGCTTTCCTGGGGACACCCCCTTTCCATTCTTCTACAGCTCCCTGTGGATGGCTTTTAGACAGCACTTGTTTTTTTAACAGTTTCATTGACGCATAATTGATGTCCAATAAATTGCACATATTTAAACTACAGAATTCAGTAAGTTTTGACATGTGCATGAACCCTGAAACCATCACCGTGTTCATGATCATGAACCTATTCATCACCTTCTGTCCTTACCCACATCCTTCCACAGGCAACCACTGATCTGCTTCCTGTCACCATGGATTAGTTTGCATTTTCTAGAATTCTATATAAGTGGAATTATATTATATAGTCTGTACTTTTTTTTGTCCGGCTTCTTTCACAGCCAGTCTTTTTAATTTTAGTCATTCTAACAGGTTTGCAGTGTATCAGATTATGATTTTAATTTGCACTTCCTCAGTGATGATAATGAAATTGACCATCCTTTCATGTGCTTATTTACCATCTGTACCTCTTCTTTGGTGAAGTCTGTGTTCAAATTTTTGTCCGTTTTTATTTTTTTTATCACATAAATTAACATTTATTTTGTTAATGGCATCTTTTTCACTGCCATGACATCTGAACAAGCATTAAACTCTTTAAAGACTGACCTTAGTACAGCAACATTACAGGAGACAATTTAAAATATTTTTTTAAATAGAAAAAGTTTGAAGTAAAAGAAAACCTCTACATGTTACATTCCTTAACAAATATTCAGGAAAAAATTTAACTCACATTTAAATACTTTTTATTGAAGTATTAAATATTGAATTCTACATTTTTAAACACTGTTATTTTAAGAATCAGGGAGGTCTTTTCATAACCGCCAATATGTTCCAGTACTTCCATATCCAGTATGTATTTCTAAAATATCTTGAATTCTCCATCACTTTTCAATGAGAAATTAATAAAACTTCTTGGGCTTTGCGGTCTTCCCATTTTTCTTTCCATTTGTTTTTTCAACTGATGTGCTTTGAATCTTTCTGATATTCCCTTAAGCTCCTCCGGGATGCTCTGATTTGCTCTTTCCAGTACATTAATCAATTCTGTTGCAATTCTCCAGTCATTTCTTGTGATAAGAGTTATTGCAACACCTGTTCTCCCTGCTCTTCCAGTCTGCCCTATTCTGTGAACATACTCTTCAATGTTCCTTGGAAAGTCATAGTTGTATACGTGAGTAATATTGTGAACGTCCAGACCTCGGGATGCTAAGTCTGCGGCAATTAATATTCTTACTTTTCCTGTTTTAAAATCTTGTAGTGCTTTCTCTCTTTCCCTCTGTTCTCTGTTGCCATGTAATGATTCCACTGATATATGTCGGAGAATCAGGTCACTTGATAAATGATCCACAATGGCCTTTCGGCAAACAAAGACAATGACTTTGTCATTAGCCGATAAATGCTCTAGAAAAGTTTGGATATGACTTCGTTTTTCCTCTTCTGTTGTCACAATCACACTTTGTTCTACTGTGCTCACAGCTACAAGATCCAACGTAGACAATCACTGGCGTTTTCAAGTAAGACTGTGTAAGTGGCCTAACAGCACCTGGCCAAGTTGCACTTGTCATAATAGTCTGCCTATCTGGGCGCACATCTAACAAAATCTTCATAATCTGGGGTTCAAATCCCATATCAAGCATCTTGTCTGCTTCATCTAAAACCAAGTAGGTTACGCTTTTCAAGTTGGCAAAGTTATTCACTTGCAGATCATTCAACCTTCCAGGTGTTGCAATGACGATATCTACACCTTTTCTAAGATCTTCTATTTGTCGGTCTCTATCTCCACCACCGTATACACAAACACTCTTAAGTCCTTTATATGAATATTTAGAACATTCAGATTCCACTGGAATAGCTAATTCACTTGTGGGCGTGAGAACTAACATACCGGGTCTGCCCCTTTTTCCTCTACCTTTTGGTTGACCGTCTAGATGAATAAATCCAGGCATTAAATAGGACAATGTCTTTCCCGTTACTGTTTGTGCTTTTCCTATAAGGTCTATTCCTTGTAGAACTATTGGCCACGATTGTGACTGAATAGGTGTTGGCTTTTGAAAACCTGCCTTTTTAATGGTTTCTAAAATTTCAGGCTAACATTGAAAGGCATCGGCAAATGTGCAGGTAGGATTAAGGATTGGACGTTTTTCACCTTCTTTCAAGTCATCACACATATTAAAATTTTCCTTTCTCCAATTGTCTACCTCCACCTGTGTCATCAAGCTTGTTGTTGTTGACTCTGTAAAAGTTTTTCTCAATCGGAGGTAAGTCAACTTTGTGTTCTGAATAATCATTTTCTTCTTGTTTCTTAACAAAATTATCTATCACTGCTTTTGCTTTTGTTTGCATCGCCATGGTGCCAAATATTTTCACTAATGATTCTGGATATCCTTTTATTATCTGTATCTTGGTACCTGTTGTTCTCTGGATATCTTTTATATTTGACCCACCATGACTGATCATGAGTCCAACAAAGTCGTTCTTTAACCCAAAACAAGGGGTGGATCCTGGAGACCAGCCTCTCTCCTGCCGCCACCTCTGCCTCCCCTACCTGTCCTGGGACCTGTGCTATTCGCTTCCTCCTCTAGCCTCCTCTCTGGAGCACCCGACGCTGTGGAGCTTCCCTGGGAAGCAACGCCCCAACTGGAGGCACTGGTTCCTGTTTTTTGCCCAGACATGATTCTAAGAACAGGTGTGTCCGACGTCGTTCCAATCAGCTCCCCAGCACTCTCATGCACGGTTGTAGGACTACTGTCTTTTGTCCGTTTTTAAATTGAACTGTTTGTTTTCTTATTTTTGAAAGTTCTTTATATATTCTGCATATAAGTTCTTTCTGAGATATATCACTTGTAATCTATCTTCCAGATGTGGCTTGTCTGTTCATTCTCTTAACAGTGTCTTCTTTGATAGCAGCTCTGAATTTGTATCATGATTCATCCTTTTTAGACTTTCTAGATTGAGCCCTGGAAGGGCAAGGACCATGAATTCTCCCCTCTATGTCCTCAGCACCCCTCTACAGTCTGACATATAGAAGATGTTCATTTGAACATTGTTTTTTCTTTTCCTTACTATACTGCTCTTTCTTGTCATAAGGTCATATTTTAAAACCAAAATTTCCCATATTAGGATCATTTCAGTGTGCTCTAAATAGTCTGTAGCTTGTTTTATTTTTATATTTAGATATAATTCACAACCATAACATTTACCCTTTTAAAGTATAAAATCCAGAGGCTGTTAATATGTTCATAAAGTTGTATAACCATCACCACTAATTCCGGAACATTTTCATCACCCCCCTACAAAAACCCCATACCCAGTAGAAGTCAAGACCCATGCCTTTCTTCCCCAGCTGCTGGCAACTACTCATCTTTTTCCATCTCTATGGAGTTGCCTATTCTGGACATTTCATATGAATGTAATCATGCAGTATGTGTCCCTATGTGTCTGGTTTTGTTCTCTTAGCATAATGTTTTCAAAGTTTATCCATGTTGTATCATGTATTAGTATTTTATTCCTTTTTATAGCTAAGTAATATTCCGTTGTATAGATATATGATCATGCATCATTTGACAACGGGGGTAAATTCTAAGAAATGTGTCATTAGACAATTTCGTCATGTGAACATCTTAGAGTGTACTTATATGAACCTAGACAGTATAGCCTACTACACACCTAGACTATATGGTATAGCTTATTGCTCCTAGGTACAAACCTGTATAGCAAGTTACTGTACTGAATACTGTAGGCAATTATAACACAATGGTAAATATTTGTGTATTTAAACATAGGAAAGGTACAGTAAAAATAAGCTATAAAAGATAAAAAGTGGTACACCTGCATAGGGCACTTAACCATGAATGGAGCTTATAGGACTGGAAGTTGCTCTGGGTGAGTCAGTGAGAGGTGAGTGAATGTGAAGGCCTAGGACATTACCGTACACTGCTATAGACTTTATGAACACTGTGTACTTAGGCTTCACTAAATTTATAAAAATAAATTTTTCTTCAATAATAAATTAACCTTAGCTATAAACTAAGGTTTTTACCCTATAAACTTTTTAACTCTTTTTAACCCTTTGTAATAATACTTAGCTTAAAATACAAACACATTGCATAGTTCTATGAATATATTTTCTTTCTTTATATCCTTATTCTATAAGCTTTTTCTCTATTTTAAATTTTTTTTTTTTTACGTGTTACATTTTTTTGTTAAAAACAGACACAAACACACACATTAGCCTAGGCCTACACAAGGTCAGGGTCATCAATGTCACTGTCTTCTACCTCCACATCTTGTCCCACTGAAGGCATTCAGAAGCAACAGCATGCATGGAGCTGTCATTCTCTGTGATAAGAGTATTCCAGCATTCTTCTGCAATACCTCCTGAAGGACCTGCCTGAGGCTCTTCTTGAGGAGGTATCACTCTTTTCAGAAATACGCTTAGGGTGGTTTGCTTGGTTTGTTTCTTGTTTTCATCATAGACTTTCTTGTAAGCAAATAATGCACTATGAACATTCCTCTCTATTAATGAACACCTTTCAATGTCAGGAGCCATGTTTTCAAACTTTTTAAGGAGCTTGGCAAAGTCTGCAAAAGCTTCTGCTACACCCTTCACTGTGAATTTTCTTGGAGGTTCACCAGTCATAGGAATTTTTCAGCTCCATTATAATCTTATGGAACCACTGTGGTCCATCATTGATGGAAATGTCGTTATATGGCGTGTAGCTGTACAACATTTTGTTTATCCCTTCATCAGCTAATGGACATTTGGGCTATTTCCACTTTTAGCCACTATGAATAATGCTGCCATGAAAATTCATGTACAAGTTTTTGCATTTACATATTTTTTCATCCTTTTGTGTATATACTCAGGAATGGAATTGTTGGGTTATATTGTCTGCTTCTTCCGATAGCTAGCGGGCTGCTGCTTTTCAGCCATTATTGCAGGTGGTTGGCTTTCTCTTTTTTGTGTTATTTTTTTTTTTCCTTGTGACAGAGTCTCGCTCTGTTGCCTGGGCTAGAGTACTTACTAGAGTGCCGTGGCATCAGCCTAGCTCACAGCACCCTCAAACTCTTGGGTTAAAGCAATCCTCTTGCCTCAGCCTCCGGAGCAGCTGGGATTACAGGCGCTCACCACCGCGCCTGGCCGCAGGTTGTTGGTTTTCAAGGCTACCATACAACTGAAGAGGAAGGATAGAAATAGGACAAGTTAAAATGCCACAAATCTCACTGCTTTGACTGAGAGTCAGCCATTTGTCTTGATAAACACACTGCAGATTGCTGAAAGCCTTTGATAAATTCGTAGAGTTCTGAAAAAACTGACAATTTTTGCCAGTTTTCTAATTGTTTTTATGGTGATTGTCTCTGACGTTATCCCTCTGTAGCTTATTTAAGGCCACGTATTTTGCCACTCGAATGGTTGTGTCCAATTACCATATTTTTGCATGGCTAACTCCTACTCATCTTTAAGACTCAGCTCAAAGGTCATTTCCTTGAGCAATCGTATACTTTCTGCAAATTAAATTCAACACAGAAGCTGATCAAGTGAATCAGATGCTATCCCAGCTGCTTTTGTTCGATGAGCAAATGGGGAGAACTGGACCCATGCCAGGTCATCACTCACCTTTCCCAGTCCTCCCAGCCCCCTCCCCACAGTAGCCAGTGCCTCTGAGCACCTGAGGCTCTGCAGACCACAGCATGAATCTCTGAGCTAGAAGGATGCTTGGTGAGGATTTCAAAAAGCATTTTCAAGCAGTAGGCAGTGAGTTGGGCTGGATAGCACCTGGATCCAGTCAACCAGAAATTGCATGTTTTCCTGGATGAAGAGGACAATTACTCGGATGATTCACCAACAAAGCCATAATGCTTTTTAGAAGATTATAGAATATACATAAACATATATTGAACATATATAAATTTTTAATACAGGCCCCAGGAAAAGAACAGCCACTGCCTATTAGAATGACTACATGACTACAAGAAAACTTTTCTTAATCTATCATGAAGATACTTGTGGAGAAATGTTGCCCGAAGGAATTTTAAAGACCATTAGCACAGGTACGTTGATACTATTAATACCACTGCTTTGGATTATATCTTAGTTTTTCAAATTTAGATAATTAGAAAGAATCAACCTGATCATTCCCTGGGATGCGTGGATCCTACTTTGGAGACCACAGCATTAAATTAAAAAAGAAAAAAGTAGTCTGTAATGTTACCTCTAAGTGAATTTATAGCATTTTTATTGTACAGAATTGAGAAAGTTGGACATTAATTGATTTTATAGAATTTGTTATATAGCATAACATTTATATAACATTTGTTATATAACATGTTGTGGAGAGAAAAAAACCATTGGCAAAGTAGTACCAATAAATAGTTGTTGAATATGGTAGTATTAGTACTTCAAACAGCTCTTTTCATACACTACTCAGGCTCTGACACCCTTTCCTGGGCACCACAGCCAACCCCCCCCCCGCCCCCGGGAACAGACCTTGCCCAGCCCCATATAAGGGCTTCAGGACTGAACTGTTCAGAAAGGGAAGGGACGAGAAGTGAGGAAAAAAAAAAAAAACCTGTAGAGCCATCCTGAACTAGCACCAACAAAGTAAAAACTCTCCTGTGTATTTTCTCTCCCCACTGGTTCCAGATCTGGAGGAATAAAAAACCACAGTTATCAAGCTGGGGGAGGAAGAGCAAAGAAAGAAAGACAGAACCAACTGCACATCTCCTCCAGTGAAGGCTTCCTGCTGGGGAGAGATTTATATTTAAATCAAGTTCAGAGCTTTGCCTTATACGGGACAAGACATTTTAATTTCTGAATTGAGACCGTTTGGTGACTAACAGTGACAGCTATTTTATTATTTAAGTATGATGAGGAGAGTCATAAAACTGCTCACGTTTTTATCCCAGTGACAGTCAGCTGTTTCATTATTTAAGGATGACAGGGAAAGTCATAGGACTGCTCATGTTTCTATCTAAGAGCAAGGAAAAACTTTTCCCACTGAATAAATATAAAATGAAAATGGGAGACAAATTATACCACTTTATGATCCTGCTCCATGAGGATCGTATGCCTTCATCACATACATTTTGAGTGACCACAGATCCACAACAATTGGGTATTTTCTGTGGTTTCCAAGAGGCCCCAACTGTCTGAAGAACTATGGAGGAAAGAAAAGCCCTTATGGCGACCCCTTATGGGTTTTTGGTTTGGTTTTGGTGGTTTATTTCATTAAAGATTGGCAGTTTTTACCATTCTTTAATTAAGGTCCATGTTCGACAACGAAAAATTATTGTTTTTAGGTAACTGGGATATAAGTAGGACTTCAAAGTCTAATTCTGCTTTCTCTTTA